CTGCCCAGGGGGCTTAGGGGCCCCATAACCAAAGCTCCCTTCCCTACAGCAGCGCACGCTGACCCTTCTGAAGTACATGAAGCGGGGCCGGTGCCAGGACCTCTGCCAGGGCCACTCCTCCAACCTGGAGTGCCTTTCTTTCCCATCTCCTCTGGCCTCCGAGCCAAGCCCCAACTCGCCCCTCTCAGAGGCCTGCTCCATCGGTCTCACTGGTCCCCACCTGCATCAGGCACACGGCCAGGCTGCACGCAGGCTCATGTTTTCAGAAAGGCGTTTTTGTCCTTATTTTTGACAGATTGTTTCATATTCAGCACCTCCTCCTAGACCATAAATGTTCGCTGAGCCTGGGTCAGGTCTTCCTGTTCCAGTGTATCCCAACCCACACCAAAAATATGGACTTCGCACACAGTAGGTGTCATAGATGTTTCACTTTTTTGGGCCAGCAAGCCATTAAGGCCATCTTCCACAGCCCAGCCATAGAGGCCCAGCCCTGAAAAGACAGGGGCTCAGGGAGACCTGCTCAGCCCTCAGACCTGCTCAGGACCTGGACAGCCCGTCTGCTCTGAGGAAAGGCTACCTGAACACTCTTAGATGTGTGTGGCTCTGGCCCCCTCCCAAAGGGGATCCCCAAACTCAGAAACAGGCAGAAGGCCCCAGGCAAGACTTAGTGCCGGGAAGGGCTCAAGCTGGCCCTATAATCCCAGCCCTGGCCTGGGCCCCTGCTCTCATCCCTGCCCGGCCTTCGTAGGACTGGCCCACATGGGGCACTCCCCCTGCCTGTCTGTGTGTCTTTAAAAGGAGGCTGAGAGGGACCCGGTCACCTCTGTCAGGCAGGGACTGCAAGAAGCTGCTCCTGTTAAATTACAAATCCCAGCGTGGACAGACTCTGCCTTCTGATAGCATCTACAGAACTATATGGGAGGAGGAAGGGTATCATAGGAAAGGAGGAACCAGACGATGTGTCCCCCTTCAGCTTCAGTGGCTCCTTCCACGAAATAGGCAGAATGATCCCTGTTCCGGGCAGAATCACTAGAAAAACCAAATGCATGAATGGCACTTTGAAAGGCCTTGGAAAGAAGCCTTCCAGGCAGCTCGAGCTCAGCCCCAGCAGCCTCTGCTTGTTCACGGCTGCAGGACAGAGAAGACCATGTGGGTCTGAGTGCTGGTCTGAGAAGGCATCCAGTAGGGCAGAGAGATCCAAGTGCCAACTCTAATCAAACAGTTGGGCTCCTAGAGCAGCATATTGAGAATGATTCTGAAGCCTTTTCTGACCCCATGAGCATCGTGATCAATTGACAAGGTCTGCCATAGGAACGGGGTAGGGGTAACACCTGTGCCAGGTACTAACCATCCCCATCCTAGGTTCAGAGCTCTCCGCAGCTGAGCAGCAACTCCCGAGGGTCACTTCCTATTTCAGGATGACCTGAGCCTCTTACCACTCTCTCACCACACATGCCTGAGAGTCACTGGTGCCCCGATGGAAGTCTCAGGCCTGGCCCTCACCACCCCACTTACCCCCTCCCTGAAGGTGAGAGATGCCCCCCAGTCCCCTCACCTTGGGCTGGAAGGACACTCGGTGCTTGGCAGGCTCCACCTCCGGCTTGGCCTCCTCCCCGGAGTCCTCACTGTAGCTCTCGAATTCGCTGGAGCTCCAGCCTAGGTCCTCCGCCTCCCGAGGCACCCCGTCCTGGTGCACATCTTTGTACAGCAGGTTCCTCTCTGCCCCTGCAGGCCAGGGGACAGGGCTAGTGAGCCAGAGGCACCGAGGCCAAGCCTACCAGACGTGGAGCCTCAGACCCAGCTCCTGAACCCAAGTGGGTGACGGGGAGGGCTGGGGAGGACGGAGTGTGGAGAGTGAGGCCCTGGCCCCGGGCTCCAGCTCGCCTTCCTCGACCACAGCATGCAGCCATGACAACACATTGCCCACCTCATAGGGTGAGGAGGGCAGGAGAAAATGAAGAAAAGCACAAGAAATGTGACAGACAGCAGACTCTGTAATTTCCTTTATATATCAGCATTACACTTCTGTGATCTGAATGCTCCTTCGGGGTCTCCTTGACATTTTTTGGTGGAAACGAAAAGCCCTAGGGTCGAGGCCCTGCTCGGGCCCACAGCATCCACACAGTAAAATGAAGACTGTCAGGGCATTAAATGAGTCGGCACAGGAAAGGGGCTGGCACAGAGCCTGGTCCCTTCCCCAGGATCCCTCATCCCAAAGTTGAGTTCCCATGTGGGTCCAGGATGGTCCAGTAGGGGGCGCACCTGGCCCAGAGTCCAAGAGTGTTTCCTTCTCTTTCAATGCTCTCCACAGGGAAATGCCTTGGACTGAAAACCCAGGGACAAAGAGCTGAGAGTCCTCTGGTCTGGAGGGACAGATCTGAAGGCTGAGGTAAGAAAGCCACTGTCCCGAGTCCCAGCCCAAGTTCCATCACTGGGCCATCTTGGGCAAGGCCCTTTGCCCTTCTGGGCTTCATGTCCTTTGTTATCTGGGGAACTACAGACCTCACAAAAGTGAGGTCAGACTCCAAAAAGTATATGAACGTGCAGATGATCTGTCCACGCAAAAGAAGGGTATGCCTTGGGAAGGGTTTAAAAAATCCACTCAGAAACAACTGTGCTGAAGAACAGGCAGCTCTCGTTATCTGAGCCCTCTCTGCAAACTGGATATAATAAACTGATAGGTCAAGTAAATAAAATATGGACAAGAAGCTCTTAGCAAAGAGCCTGGCATGGTGCATGCACTCGACCAAGGAGAGCTGATCATCACTCGTGGTGACTCTGGGTAGGCTCCGGTTTCACTGCACCGACCCAGAGCCCTCAACTCCACCCCACAGGAAAGCTGGTGTCGGGGGAGGAGATCTTCATCCAAAGAACAAAACAGATGTACTGAGGCTTAGCAAGACTCAGGTCCCAGGACCAGGAGAGAACATGAGGCTATTTTTAAGCAAAGATAATAGTGACTAATGTCTCTAGAGAGTGGAGCAGAGGTGCACAGGCTGTGACCTTCACAAGGCTGGGCTGATTGTCCTATTACTGCAGTGGAGGCCCTGAGAATAGTGACTAAAGAGGCAGGTCCCAGCTCTTGGGGTTTCCCTGGAACAAGAACCACAGTAGCTTCTGAAGGTCTAGCTTCCATCTTCAGTGTGCAGCATGTCCCAGAAGCTCTGCGTGCTTGGCAGGGTGTGCACTATCACCCCCTCCTATTAGACAGATGAGAAAACAGCAGAAGGCAGTGGGGGACGAACAGAGAAGAGATGTGGCTGGCTGGGGTCAGACAGTGAGCAGGGCTGGGACTCCACGCATTCATCATGCTGCTGTCCACTGAGGACCCAGCTGTCCTGATGAGATCACCTGCAGCCCATTTAGAACTATCCTCTCCAGTAGAGGCAGAGTTACCAGACTCCTGAGCCTATGGTGGAGCCTAAGTGCCAATTCCTCACCCTTCAGGGACCTCACAGGGTCCCCCTGCCTCCTAGTGCCTCAGGCTTCACTAATGCTCAAAATACAGCCCCCTTTCTGAAGCACTCATGGCCACCTGCTCAGTGCCCTACATCAATTTTCTCATGAATACACACCACAACCCTAGGACATAACTATTATTGCCCCAATTTTACAGATGGGTCAACTGAGGCCCAGAGAGATTAAGCAGTTCTCTGTGCGATACTCCCCAAAGGCCTAGGAGTTCAGGGTGATCTTCTGATTTTATATGAAGAAGCCAAGGCCTAAAGGCACAAAGCCCTGTGCCCAAATCAATGGCAGAGCCAGGATTTCAACCCAGGGCTGTGTGTGTCCACTGGCACGTATGGCCTGCACCTTGCCTGGCAACCTCCTCTCCAAGCTCCCGCTAAGCCCACATCAGCCCCAGGCAGACCAGTGCTGGGGCCCTCGGCAGGTGCAGCGCTAACCACAACAGCCAGCAGTGGCCCTGTGTGCAGAGCCTGCAGAGGGCCAGGCCCTGAGCTGAGCTCTTTACATCTTCATCTGGCTCGATCCTCCCACAGCCATGTGAGTGGAGCTCGCAGGTGGGGCTCTCAGTCCTCAGTTTGTAGGCTCAGAGCTGGGATGCAAATGCAGACTGCCTGACTCCCAGGCCACCTGCTTTTAACCACCTCAAGGTAAGACAGCAAGGGCGTGCCAGATCCTCCCAGACCCTGAGGACGGTGAACACGGTGGCCAAATCATTAATTGCTTGATTTTCAGGTGGGAAAACAGTCCAAAGTGGTAAAATGATACCTGAAGCCCCTCAACCACTGAGTTCCTCAGCCATTCCCACCCATGAGATCTGGGGCCTTCCTATAAGGCCCTCCTGCCCCCAACACAGTGTTCTGTGTCCCCATCTCTCCCACATTCAAATGGGCTAAAGCAGGAAATGTGCTCCCAGCACATCCTGGACTTGCTAAAGGGACGAGAACATTGTTGGTCCATCTGTCCCTGTCCCTGGGACAGGAGTCAGGAGCATGACTCTGGCAGTCCTTGGACCTTGTCATGTTGTCTGTGGTCCCCCTCCTGTTGGACTGTGTCAAGGCCACCCCTACCAGACTAAGAGCTCCTCAAAAGCAGGGGCTGTTTCCCCCTTTACATGGGGACCCCTGAAAACAGGCAGAATAGTGTAGCAGTCAGGCAGACGTCCGTTCAAATCCTGGCTGTGTGATCTCACGCTGGTGGCTTAACCTCTCTGATAAAACTGGAGCCATGAGCCCTGCCCCGCTGACCTCATGAGGGTGATTGAACAGTGCGATCAGACATGCTTCATCTGTCATAAGATGCCACCCCAATCCTCCTGGAGTAGGGGCCAGAGCACTGGACTTGGAGTCACAATGACCCAGGCTCAAACCCCAGCCCTGCCTCTACAGTTTCCTTGTCTATAAAATGAAGACATAATACCCCAAATCAAAATTTGGAAGATTCCATGATTCAAAATTGGAAGAGTAACTTGGCCTAATGTGTCCACGCAAAGATGTCCTATACTGTTCGTTATTAGTCAGTATTCCTCCAGCAGGACTTACCCCTCCCCCACCCCATTTCTCCTGTGCAGCCACAATCCCAGAGCAGGGCACAGGGCTTTCCAGAGCTTTATCTCCTTTACCCTTCGGATTTAACAATCTGTCATCCCCAACTGCCCTAAGAAGCCTGGACTATCGCCCCATTTTCCTGAGAGAGGAACCAAGGCTTGGAGAGGTGAAATGTCTGCAGGGGACCCACAGCCAGAGGGTCACCCTGCCCATGACATGCAGGCCCGGTTAGGCCAAGCCAGGCCATGCCATCTGCAGACTCTCCCTGGATGACTGCAGTGGTTTTCAAAAGCAAGAAGGAGGGGCATTGGGCTGGGTGGGGATGGAAGGAACCGGAAGGAGAAGACCCTCAGCAGGCTCCACCCACCCTCCCCTGTGAGAGACAGAGAGGAGGCAGAGCATGGAAGAGACCCTACCAGGCTGATGGGCATCCAGGCTCTCGCAGGGGACGTCGTCATAAATCACATCTTCCTCCAGGGCAGGGAAAGTGAACCGGTCGACTGGGCATGGAGGGGGAGAGAAAGAGCACGCACGCGGGCTGTGGTGGCTGTGGTGGCCGCAGGCTGTGGTGGCCCCGGGCCCAGGCGCTGCTGGGCTGACATCAGCTGGTGCACCACAGCATCCTGACCGCCCCACCAGCACCGCGCAGCCCAGCCCGGAGCCCGCCAGCTGCTCTCGGGGGATGCTGCCACCCCCGATCCTCCCCACCCCCAGCNAGGCGCTGCTGGGCTGACATCAGCTGGTGCACCGCAGCATCCTGACCGCCCCACCAGCACCGCGCAGCCCAGCCCGGAGCCCGCCAGCTGCTCTCGGGGGATGCTGCCACCCCCGATCCTCCCCACCCCCAGCTCCTCCAAGGCACCCTCCCAGTGACCATGCAGACTCCCCTGCCCCCCTGCTATCCGCAGGCCTGCCCATCTGGCTGACGCCGCAGCTGCTCACGGCACCTGCAGGGAGCATGAGGCATCGCGGCACCTGTGCCCTGGCCCTGAGCATCTGCAGTCGCCCTGGCCCTGGGACCAGCCCCTCCCCTGCTGAGCAGACTGGGATTTGGAAAACCAGCCCCCACCCCTGGCAGGAGAGTGTCCTGACCCCACAGAGCCCTGTCAGAGCCTGATCCTTGACCCCCTCTTCCTCCTCCCACACCGACTCTGCCTCTCTCCAGTTCCCTCCTTCCCACCCTTGGCCTCCCTCCTGGCTCCACCCCACCCCCACCCCAGAGTGAAGGGACTGAAAGGCAAAAGGGGCCGCATCTCTGGCCTTCCATGGCTCCCTGTTGCTATGGAAAACCTAAGCGTGGCCTTGGAGGCCTGCCCAGAGGAGCTGGGGAGGAGCCGGGGGATCACAGCCTCACCTTGTCCATTCACCCCCGGACCGGACTGAGCCACTGGCCGCTTCCCCAAGTGCCAGGCGTCCCCTCACCCTCAGGCTCTTGTGGTACAAGCCAGTCCCTCTGCCTTAAACCCTCTTTGCTAACTGCTGCTCCCTCCCTCTCTGCCTTCAGGACTCACCCTGGCACCTACCCACACACCTGCCCACCACGTGGTAACTGCCTGCCTCTGCGTCTGCTTCTGCCTCCAGAGGGACCTCGTCTGGGTCACCTGGGTCCTCCCACTGCCAGGCCCACCCTGGTCTGTTGTGGGAGCTTTGCAAGTACTCGAGGAACAGATGCATGGTGGAATGTGTGATCTACGCCTGGACCACTATTGTGGGCAGTGGTTGGTCACCTCTGAGCAGCGACCAAGACCACAACAGCCCTCCCAGTGAGGACGACCTCTCAGCTAACAAGGGCCCAGGTCCGCTCTCTAGGCCTGGAGGAGACTACGAGACTGTCCTGGCACTCTCCTGGCACTACCTGGGGGGGGTGGCGGGCAGGGGGCAGGGGAAACTTACTGCGACGGGAGCTCTTCCGCTTCCAGCTGGAGCGCCGGACCCCAGAGAAAGTTGCGTACACAGCATCCCCATTGCTTACCACGGCTGGCACCCTGTGGGCCAAGAAACCTGCTGATGAGCCAGCAGGGACAGGGACAGCCCCTTGAAGCTTCCGCAGCCCCTCACCAGGTCGGCGGGGCATGCGACGGGCCAGGCCACCAGGGAGGCCCACGGCAGGGCCGGCCTTCCACAGGCCACTTCGCCTCTCGTTTCCCCGTCTTTGGAAGGCACCATAGGCCCGACCTGCTCCTCTCTTTCTACTTAGTGTTAAGAGCAAATGTGCTCACAGTGATCAGTAATTCTCGACGCACAGAGCCCATCATTCCTCCAGTGCAGACTCAACGGGAATCTCCACCTCTCCATCACCCCACATGCAAGATGAAGGTCATGGGGGGACAGGGGGTCCCTGCCTCTTGCAAGAAACAAGGACTTGCAGAGTTTCAAAAGACTACACGTGGGAGGTAGAGCTAATCCACACACACACACTTCAACATGGGCTGGACCCACCGCCTCACTTCCGAAGAACAGACACATAGACGGGAAACAGCAGAGGACCCTGGCACACGTGGCCTCAAGCACGTGACAAAGGTGAGCATCTGCAGAGATGTCACACGGGTGCCATGCACCCTGGTGTGCTGTTGCAAGATGGCACCTCACTCAAAACCCATAACCCCGTTCTAATCATGAGAAAAACACCACACAAACCCAGACTGGGGGACATCCTACAAAACATCTGGTCATTACTCCTGCACATCCTCAAGGTCATGGAGACCAAGGAAAGACTGAGAAACTCATAGGCCAGAGGGGGCTAAGGAGACATGATGATTAAATGCAACGTGGGATCCTGGATTGGATTCTGGAACAGAAAATGGACATGAGTGGAAAAACTGATGGAATCCACAGGAAGTCTGGAGTCTAGTGAATGGTAATGTACCAACACAGGTTTCCTAGTTTTGACAACTGTACCATGGTCATATAAGATGTTAACAACAGGGACACAGGGCGAGGGGGTATATGGAACTCTATGGACTACCTTTCCAACTTTTCTATAAATCTAAGATTATTCCAACATGAACTTTTTTTAAGTCCAGGTTCAAAAAACACAAAGACCACTTATGCCAACCTAGAGGGTAGAGGCCTTAGATTGTCTGAGACAGCAGCCACCATTGCCAAGGAATCAACTTGAACTTCCTGGCACCTGAGCCCTTAGCAGAGGATGAGAGGGTGATAGAGACTAGAACGGTGCGGAGAGAAGGGAGGGACAGAGAGGAGGGGATTTCCACTCCTGAGCACCTCCTATGAGCCAGGTCCTTTGCCTCATCTCCCAACACCACCAAGACGTGGATCCTGGCATCCTTCTCATTTTGCAGGGGAGTAGAGGAACCTGCCCAAGATCACTCCTGCCCAGGGAGTGGCCAAGCCAGATCATGAAGCCAGCTTGCCTGGCTCCAAAGCTGGCCTCCTACTATGGCGCCCAGAGCCCCTTGAGTAACAGGGCCTGGAGAGCCATGATGATGAATGTTCCCTGTCTGTGCTGTCCAGCAAGCACGGTGGCCATCAGCCACGTGCGGCTACTGAGCGCTTGAAGTGGGAGTAGTGTGACTACGGAACTTGACTTTTAATTCTACTCATTTTATTTTATTTATTTATTTTTTTTTGTCTTTTGTCTTTTTCCATGTCCGGCAACGGATCGCAACCCTCAGTGTTGCCCCCGTACCGGACCGGGGACCGGCAATGGGATCGCAACCCTCGGTGCTGCTCCCGCGCCTCGCTCAGCCAGTGAGCGGGAACCGGTCTGTATGTGGGATCCGAACCCTCGGACGGGAGCGCCGCCGTGTTTCCCAAGCGGCGCACTTATCCAGTGCGCCACCGGGCCGGCCCTAATTCTACTCATTTTAAATAGCCACACGTGGGCAGCGCAGGTCTAAGTCACCTGCACTATTGCAAAAGCAAGTCTCCGCTCACATTGTACTGCCAGGCCTCAGTAGTGTCACCCCGGGGTGAGGAAGGCAGCACATTTCAGTCCTGGGGTGATGCTTTCCTCTGACAGGAAGTTTTTTCCGTGTCCGGCAACGGATCGCAACCCTCAGTGTTGCCCCCGTACCGGACCGGGGACCGGCAATGGGATCGCAACCCTCGGTGCTGCTCCCGCGCCTCGCTCAGCCAGTGAGCGGGAACCGGTCTGTATGTGGGATCCGAACCCTCGGACGGGAGCGCCGCCGTGTTTCCCAAGCGGCGCACTTATCCAGTGCGCCACCGGGCCGGCCCTAATTCTACTCATTTTAAATAGCCACACGTGGGCAGCGCAGGTCTAAGTCACCTGCACTATTGCAAAAGCAAGTCTCCGCTCACATTGTACTGCCAGGCCTCAGTAGTGTCACCCCGGGGTGAGGAAGGCAGCACATTTCAGTCCTGGGGTGATGCTTTCCTCTGACAGGAAGTAAAGGCCAAGAGGGGACAGGGCTGTTCTGGACTAGGAGGAGGAGTGCTGAGGTGAAGGGACCCACCTGAGCCCATCTCTGTAACAGCTGTTTGGCTGGACAGTCTCCCGGCCACAGACCCTCTTTGCTTTGATATGTAACCATGACAATAGGTGATCTTTACAAAGCACCCGCTACTACAAGCTGCTTCCTTTGCTTTACATATATGTGCAAATTTAGTTTCACAGGTACACATAGGAGGTAAGCACTGTTATCCCCATTCTGCAGATGGGGAAACTGAGGCTCACAAAGACTCAATTCCTTACCCAAAGTCGCTCGGCTAACTAGAAGGAGCTGGGATCTAAAGCTAAGTCTGTCTGCCTGCAAAGGCTGTGGTTCTTTCAACTAGACCACTTGGAAGCAGAGAATTCACATTTAAATGTCCACCTACAAAACAGACTCACTGTGTCATAAAGTCACCTAAACTCTTGCCTATTTAGCCACCATTTTTAAAAAAGGAAGGAGAGCAACAGCCCTCAGCATAGAATCAGAAGCGCTCATTCAAGTCTCTGTCTGCTGTGGTCTGAACATTTGTGTCCCCCCAAAATCTGTACGTTGAAACTCTTACCCTCAAGGTGATAGTATTAGGCTTTTGGGAGGTGATGAGGTCATGAGGGCAGAGACCCCATGAATGGGATTAGAGCCCTTATAAAAGAGGCCCTAGAGAGATCCCTTGCCCTTTCCACCATGTGAGAACACAGCAAGTGTCATCTATTTATAAACCTGGAAACGGGCCCTCGTAAGACACTAAATCTTCTGGCATCTTGATCTTGGACTTCCCAGCCTCCAGAACTGTGAGAAATAAGTTTCTATTGTTTGTAAGCCACCTAGTCTACGGTATTTTCTTATAGCAGTCTAAACAGACACCATTCAAGAGAAATTGTAACACTCAGCTCCAAGACTCCAGTGCAGCTTAACCAAGAGAACACCGAAGAAGATGCTGTGTAAACTGTAAAGGTGACATCGAGGTGCATATGGGAATTAGTGGGTGAGGCCAGGCAGCTTCTGAGAGATCTGGAAGTACTTTATGAGCATACTAATAGCCAAAGACAGGCTGACGTATGAACCTCCTGGTTGCACGTTATCAAAGCACAGTGAGCAGCCAGCCCAGACACTGGTCCTGGCATCCTGGGCTGTGTCAGGGGGGCGGGAGGGCATCCATACAGCATAAAGAAGTCACCTTCGTGCCGACCCCCGCTGCCCAAGTCACCTGGCCAGCAAGTGGCACAGCTACAATCTGAACCAAGTTAACCTGCCTGCAAAGCCTTGCTCTCAACACCAGTTCTGCTGCCCCCCAGACTGGAGCAGGTATTCTCCAGGCAGACGAAGAGGGGGAGATGGCTTCCCAGGCAAGGGAAAAGAAGTAAAGCAGGAGTAGGAGGAAGCACAAGCAAAGTTCTGGCTCAAGGTAAGCGTGTAAGGAGAGCAGGGCAAGAAATAAGGCTGGGGGTGTGTGGGACTGTGAGCATAGCTGACTCCATATTGAGTCCTTACCACTTGTTATGTCTTTCTGAGAGCTTTGCCCATAAAGTTATACAGTAACTGGGGGTGAGATAGTTAGAACAGCAGATAGGAACAACGTGCTGACTGTAAAGATGGCATGATCAAGTACCAGTGTGGCGATAAGCCAGCCTGGCCACCTGCATCAACATTTGGATCTAGTTACACTAAGCTTGTTTACTGCTTATATAAACTTGAGCTTGGACAGAAGGTGGTGCGGAGAAGTTTGGGATATGCCTTTGTGTTGTCATCTGTCTGACCCGTCACCCTGTATGTCAGTTCCCCTGTAATGAAACTCTTTGCTTTACTGCATGGAATGAACTATTTGTTTTGTCTCAAGATACCTTTCCAGTTTGGTAGATATTCTGCCCTTGGCCCACCTTCAGACAGGGTGCATCCTCCCTCCTTGCCCCTTCCTGCTGCCTCCTAAGGCCACTGACCCACCCTGCACCCACCCAGGGCACAGCCTCTCCCAGCTGCTGTCAGAGGAAGCCACACAGGGCCCTGCCGGCTGGAAAGTCAGATCCTCCCTCTGAGCAAACACTCCTTCTGGGGCCTCCCCAAAGGCTCCAGATAGTAAAAGAGCCATAAAACCAACAAGAGGCCAATTATCTCAGCCTTATCTGAGCTTCCTGCACTCTCATGCCTCTCAGCTTGCAGTGAGAGCAAGGCCAGAGATTAAGACGATACCTGGGCTTACAAGGTGAGTCCACAGCCGCCCAAATGCAAAGGAAAGAAGCCAAATCCATGGAGAGGAACTCCAAGAAGCAACAGCCATGGAGGCAGGAGATGGATAAAAGGACCTCTCCCAATGCCCCCGACCACCAATATTCACTGTAAGACGATACCTGGGCTTACAAGGTGAGTCCACAGCCGCCCAAATGCAAAGGAAAGAAGCCAGATCCATGGAGAGGAACTCCAAGAAGCAACAGCCATGGAGGCAGGAGATGGATAAAAGGACCTCTCCCAATGCCCCCAACCACCAATATTCACTGCGACCACCAATATTCACTGTTGGCCAGATGTAGCTCAAGTACACCCAAAGGTCGCTGGCATGTCTCTGGTCCATGGAA